TTTAGCCACTTCACTGCTTACTCCCATCTCCAAATCATTAATGAACAAGTTAAAAAGCAGTGGACCAAGTACTGATCCCTGCGGTACCCCACTGCTTACCACCCTCCACTGAGAAAATTGCCCACCTACACTCACTCTCTGTTTTCTATGAACTAGCCAGTTTTTGATCCATAAAAGGACTTGTCCTTCTATCCCATGATTTTTGAGCTTACTTAGGAGCCTTTGATGAGGAACTTTATCAAAAGCTTTCTGGAAGTCAAGGTAAATAATATCTATTGGATCCCCCTTGTCCACATGTTTGTTCACCCCCTCAAAGAACACTAACAGGTTAGTGAGACAAGATCTTCCCTTACAGAAACCGTGCTGAGTCTGCCTCAATAGGTTTTGTTCATCTATGTGCCTACTAATTCTTTCCTTAATAATGGTTTCCACCAATTTACCCGGTATCGACGTCAGACTGACTGGCCTGTAATTTCCCGGATCTCCTCTGGAACCCTTTTTAAAGATGGGAGTGACATTAGCTACCTTCCAATCCTCAGGAATGGAGGCAGATTTTAAGGAAAGATTACATATCTTTGTCAGGAGATCTACAAGTTCACATTTGAGTTCTTTCAGAACTCTCGGATGTATGCCATCTGGGCCTGGTGATTTTTCAGTTTTTAAGTTGTCTATCAGTTTTAGGACCTCCTCTCTCGTCACCTCAATCTGACTCAGGTCTTTCAACACCCCTCCTGAAATCAGTGGTTCTGGAGTGGGCAAGCACTTCTCATCTTCCACAGTGAAGACGGAGGCAAAAAATGCATTTAGCTTCTCAGCCATTTCCCTATCATCCTTCAATACTCCTTTTACCCCTTGGTCGTCCAAGGGCCCCACTGCCTCCCTGGCTGGTTTCCTGTTTCTAATGTATTTGAAGAAAGTTTTATTGTTGGTTTTTACGTTTTTTGCTATATGCTCCTCATATTCCCTTTTTGCCTGCCTGACCTCAGACTTGCATTTTATTTGCCATAGCCTGTGTTCCGTTTTATCAGCCTCACTGTGACTAGCTTTCCACTGCTTAAAGGAATTCTTTTTACTTTTTACAGCCTCCATTACTCTGTTTGTTAACCATGCAGGCTTTTTCCTATACCTGTTTGTGCCTTTCCTAACCTGCGGAATATATATTTTTTGAGCTTCTAGGATCGTAGTTTTAAATAGATCCCAAGCTTCCCCAATTGTTTTGACCCTTTCTACTTTTCCTTTCAGTTTCCTCCCCACGTGTCCCCTCATATCAGAGAAATTACCCCTTTTAAAGTTAAAAATGGTTGTGTGAGTCTTTTTGGCCAATTCTCTATTTGTACAAATGATGAACTCAACAACATTATGATCACTGTTTCCAAGCGGTGCAATCACTTCCCCCTTCCAACCAAGCCACAGAACAGAGATGGCCCTGGTCTCCCTCACAGATGATCTCCAGGGGCATCTATATCGAGGCGGTACGGCAGTGTTGATGTTGTTAGACCTGTCAGCGGCATTCGACAGTCGACCATCAACTACTGATCCACCGCCTTGGTGACACCGGTCATTTATACGTGTTTCTCCCCTTTGAGAAAATGACCTCTCAACCTGCTCCAAGTTTAAAATATTTGCCCATTTGTCCTGATTCTGTACAGATTTGAGATAGCTGAATGAGTTGTCCTTAAGATGCGGAAAGAGGAGCCAGACACGAGTGTGCCACCTTGCTGCTTTTGGACATGGGCCGTTCCATTTCTAGTGGTTGTGTATTTGCAGCCACATTGCCTAAAGGCAACGACTGCTTGTCCCTGTTGAGAAGACAAGTGACACTCTAGCCACCTTTCTGGTCTCTGAACCAGTGGAAAAATCTGCCCATTGCTCCCCTGCTTTCAACATGTGCTTATCAGTAGAGTAGGGATTCTTATCACCGTTAGCAGTGCTTTGGGGACAGTATAGCCAAGTGATGCTTAGGAACTACCGAATTTCCTAACAGATCCTACACTTGTCAGCAAACATATTAAATATTGCTCTCCACCTTCCGTGTTGGAATGAGTTGGTAGAATCCATTCCGGAGTCGGCAGGAGGCAAATGCTCTTCACATTGCCTGGCCACGTAGCTGCTGCTTGCAGAAGTGCATGGGGCTGGCCAGAAACTAATGAATTTCTTAACAGATCCTACACTTGTCAACAAACATCTTAAATATTGCTTATACAGACATGCAACTAGTCTTTAACACATTTTCTTGAAGTGAGTCCTGTTGTTTAAGCAATACTTAATTTAAAAGCTAAAATGTGTAATGCCACAATCTTAAATATATTGATTTGTTTCAGTCTGACATGATTGGCTACAATGAGAGCCAGGGCCTTCTCTGTGGCGGCACCTCACTGGTGGAATGAGCTCCCAGATGACATCAGGGCCCTGCGGGACCTCCTTCAGTTCCGCAGGGCCTGTAAAACGGAGCTCTTCTGCCAGGCTTTCAAGTAGGGTTCCGCCTTGACATCATGGCCCTGGCCCTCATACTAACATCACTACCAACCTGGCCGTAACATCAACACCGCCACCAGCTGGATGATTAACAGCCTGGCAGGAGCCTGGAGGCGGACACTCAAAGGATGATAGAATGATGTCATCTTGTAATATGGTCATGTGTTTTATATTGTAATTTTAACTGAATGTTATTTTAGTATATATATTGGAGTTTTAGTGTGTATATTTATAAACATGTTGTTAGCAGCCCTGAGCCCGCTATGGTGGGGAGGTGCGGGATATAAATTTAAATATTAAATAAATAAATTAATTAATTAAATAATCATATTTAAGAGGCAGCAGCATGTTTTTTTTTCCTACTTTGGCTTTGACAGCATATAGGGGAGAATGTTCATCACTGAGATCCACTCGGATGGATGTGGCTGTTTAGGTTATCATAATGCCATTGTAAGTGGAAGGAGGGGCAGCGTTCTCATTGGGATTCCTTTGAAGCTTGTGTCTGGTGTAGTAGCCATGATGCTGTAAAGCAAAGTTTCCGCAGGAAGTCCCAGTTTCCATCTCTGGCATTTCCAGTTAACTTGGACTGCCAGTCAGAGTAAACGGTACTGACTCAGTATAAGGCGGCTTCATATGTTCCTAACAAGAGGAACGTAGCCTTATTAGATGGTATGCTTCGCATTTTTGAATTGACATCGGGGCCCTGCGGGACCTCCTGCAGTTCCGCAGGGCCTGTAAAACGGAGCTCTTCCACCAGGCTTTCCATTAGGGTGCCGCCTTTTAATATCGTGGCCCTGGCCCCAGCATCAGCACTATCAACTAACAGCCTGGCAAGAACCCGGATTATGGTGGTAGCTGACCATCTGGATGTGAGAGAACACCGCCATCTTTTATTAATATTTATGTGCCTTAAAACCAAAATTCCATATGCTGTGGTCTTAACATATCTTGTTGTTTTAATATCTATATATATTCTGTAAGCCGCCCTGAGCCTGCCATGGCGGGGAGGGCAGGATACAAATTAAACAAAATTTTAAAATTGAAGTCTACGAATCGGTGACATCGTTGGAACTTACTTTGAAGTAAATGTACTGAGGAATATTTATAGCCTTCCTGCCTGATCCTATGCATCAGTGCAGTTGCACTGGTGAAAACAATATGTGGTGTTGTCACCATTTTACCTCCAGCTTGTGACAGAGAAGCCATCTCTTCCCCCATCCATACAAATAGATCCAGATTATGGTTTGTTCTAACAATAGCAACAAAGTCCTGGGGCACTTTGAGGACTATCAGAGTTGTTGTGGCATAAGAGTTCATGGACTAGAGCCCTTCCATGCTATTACCTGAGACAGAAATAGATCCAAAGAAAATTAGTAAAAAAAACTATATAGCATTGTATGCAAAGGAGATACTTCTGCTCTGCCTATAGATCGTGGTAACTCTGTGACACCAACAGTAGGTTTGTTCCGGCAGAGGGACCATTGTGCACTAGTTCTATATGATGTAATGTTACAGCATAGTACTTGTTCCCCATTGTTTAATTCTTTCTGGTTACTAAAATGGTAAGCAATTATTTTAAGTCTTCAATCACATCTTCTTAAAAATGTTTTAGAGGGTAGACTTTGAAATATGCTGTCATCATTAAGTGAGAGCATCTGCTTATTTATACCTTTATTCATCTCAGGGAATTGAATACATTGTGCGTAGGCAGATATGCCTTATATGTTCATTTATATGTGCATAGAGCAGAAAGTGGTTGTCAGTCCATGCTAGTTGGCATCTGTGCCTCATCATGCACATAGCTGAAAGCATCATCATGGATACTTCCATGTTCCCACAGAAAACAGGTTAGGCACATCCCTCATTTCTGCTAATATAATATGCTTGGCTTATAGGGCTGGTTTTTATGTTGGGTTTATTTTGTTGTAAACTGCCATCAGGTGTTAGGAAAGTAATGTAGAAACAAAATAAGAAAACAAAGAAAGCTTAGTTATATTTTCATATCCTACAGTGACTATTATAAAAGTCTATATTTGAGAATTATCATACTGTTTCATTTTTGGAAAAACTGCTAAAAATATCTAGGGCAATTACTGTGAAAGTGAGTTTTTTCCTCTTTCATGTATGAAATGAAATTATTATGATCTCAGATGGAGGAGGAGAGGAGATTGGATTTATACCCCGCCCTTCACTCGGAGTCTCAGAGCGGTTTACAAACTCCTTTCCCTTCCCCTCCCCACAACAGACACCCTGTGAGGTAGGTGGGGCTGAGATAACTCTTTCAAGAACTACTCTTTCAAGGACAGCCCTTATCAGAACTATGGCTTGCCCAAGGTCATCGAGCAGCTGCAAGTGGAGGAGTGGGGAATCAAACCTGGCTCTCCCAGATTAGAGTCCACACACTTAACCACTACACCAAACTGGCTCTCAGTAAGCCACTCAGATTTCAGTCACATGTATAACTGCAGCCTAGAAACTTGTAGATGGAAGGGAGGTGATACTAAGATGACTCCTTTCTCTTTCAGCATCAAGGCCATTGAAAGTCCTAACAAAGACGATGACACACAGTGGCTGACCTACTGGGTGGTGTATGGCATCTTCAGCATAGGAGAATTTTTCTCTGACCTCTTTCTCTCCTGGTTCCCTTTCTACTACATGATGAAGGTTTGTTGGTTCTCGCTGTACCCCAGTAAAAACAATATGGAACTGGACATTTCCAGTGGATACCAAATTATTCCTTAGAGGGGTCCCTCTCTCTCAGTGCACCAAATGTTGTCTTGATTTGGATAAACAGCTCTCTAGATGTAGTGTGTAAGCTTGGATTGTGCATCTAAAGATGTTAGTGGATACCATTGTCAAAAGATTGGAAATTACTACCATCAAATGGCAGCTTTGATACTTTTGAGGGTTTTAACCAAGCATGACTTTCTGTTTTCATATACACGTTCTCTCTAAAGCATACGGTGAAATTGGTCCACAACAATTATCTGAATTCTGAAAGAGAACAGGAAGAGGAATTCAGGAAGAAAGATAGGGCTGGTATAGAAAGGAGATTCTCTGAACCAAATGCCTTGACTTCTGCCTGGAACAGAGATCATGTGTGCTCATGAAGCAAAGCAGAATTGTCCTCATTCTTACAAGAATGAAGAGAAATTCCAGAAGAAGGGGGGGAAATATGAAAAGAGGATATGAATATCAGAGATTTTTGCAAGCTTTTCCTCATTTACTGAAACTATATGAATTGAAAACCACTGAAAATGCTTTGGGTTTTGAAATCTTACAGTAGCACTATCTTGTTCCAGTTGGGTCAGTAGAATCTGACATGTCTGTGGAGCTGTGAACATTAGAAACCACAAGCCTTTTAGTGTAGGTGGTGGGAAGTCTCTATACATTCTCATGCCACCAGTTTTAAATTATGATGCATACATTCTCTTCCAGGCAGCCACTTAAAAAAAACCTCACAAAGACATGCACACTTCCTTTTACATACATGTGCAGTTTTGATCATGCAGACATGCATGTTCTATTCTGTATTTGGTTGTGTGCACATGTGCTTTTGCTTCATTTGGCCTGAGCCAATTTGCATGATTTTGAAGTGCATAATGGGCTACTTTCTTCCAATGTAGACCACTAGTTCTTGCCTGTGGACCAAGCAGTACTCTATCACCAGCACAAAGTCTGATTCACCATCCTCAGCATACTTGATTACTATTTCTTGGGGCAATTCACTGAAGCCTCATCTTCTAATAAGTCCACCTGAGATGATCCCTAGCAGCAACACATTTCATTGATGCAGGCCAACAGAGAGAAGGTTGGTGGTAGATGATATACAGATTATGGTTGCAAAGGGCCTGAGAGTTCCTACACATGATGCACATCGACTTATTAGACTAAAGTTGCATGCAGGCTTTCTTAAGATGGTGCAGGCTATAGAGTAAGAGGTCTTCTCTCAGCTTCCAGATAAGACACAATTTTGTGGTCATATCGACAGGCTACTGTTAGTTCATTCCTGTATGAAGAAGATTACCAGCAGAATTACAGTTTAAACGCAATGGTCTGTTCTCATTCACAAGGATATTCGTAACCAAATATAATCACTAATGGAAATATTTTATTCTCCTGGAAGAGGATAAGAAACCAAAAGCAGTCTTGTCTCCTTTAAGTGAGCCTCCAACAACCAAATAAACCAGCCTAATTTCCTCAACTGTCCACCAGTGTTCTGTGGCCATAAAATTTTCACTGGCACAGCACCTAACACCCTGACACTGGAATAAAGTTATCTTAAGCACGTACCTTAATTAACAAATGGACATGGGTCATTTTTTCCTAAATTGCTCTCCACTCACCCTAAAAAAGCAACCCCTTGTACAATGAGAGAAGGGGCTGAAGGAACAAATTTGATCAGTTTCACATATTCTTTCAGATTTGTGTGTCCAAGACCCATGCATGCTGTATTAATATGTTAATACATTAATGTATTAATAAAGGTATATTAATATATTAAGCTGATATATATAATTGCTCTAATGCGTTGGCACTTTCCAGCTCTCCCATTGGCTGTACGGTGGACTCCATCAGCCATTGGCCCATCAACCGCCAATCAATAGTATTCGTGTGCCATTGGCTGGGTGCTGGGTCCACTCCTCTTCCCTGCCCACTGCCACCTCAGCCACTGTTCCCTGTCAGAATAAATTGCCAAAACAGCGTCTCTCCTGACAAAGACACTTCTCCTGCTTGGCTCCTGTGGGACTAACTTTTTCATCAGTGGCTGTTGCTAGGCAACCAAGCCTGGTTCTGTCAGAAAAAAGGTAAAGCCAGGAGGCCCTTTCCAGGCCTTTGTGAGGAACTCACTGGGGCCAGTCCTGACTAGGGTTGCCAGCTCCAGGTTGAGAAATTCCTGGAGATTTTGTGGTGGAGTCTATGGAAGCCAGGGTTTAGGGAGGGGAGAGGCCTCAGCTGAATAGAATGACTTAGAGTCCACCCTCCAAAGCAGTCATTTTCTCCTGGGGAACAGTTGCTGCCATTCTCCAGGTGTGGGCTGGAGATCACTCAGAATTAAAACTGCTCTCTAGATGGCAGAGCTCAGTTCCCCTGGAGAAAAATGGCTGCTTTGCAGGGTGGACTCTGTGTCGTTATATCCTCCTAAAGTCACTTCCCTCCTGCTTGGGTAGAAGCTGCAGGGGGTGGTGGTGAGATGGAAAGCTGAAGTCATAGGGGCAGATAAAGGTAAGTTGATGGTTGGTTGGGAAGGATAGGGTTGCCACCTCCAGGTTGAGAAATTCCTGGAGATTTGAGGAGTGGATCCTGGAAGGGGGGGGTTGAGGAGGGGGGGACCTCAGTCAGGTACAATGCCATAGACTCCACCCTCCAAACCAGCCATTTCCTCCTGGGGAACGATTGTTGCCAATCTCCAGGTGCGGGCTGGAGATCACTCAGAATTACAACTGTTCTTCAGATGGCAGATATCCATTCCCCTGGAGAAAACGGTAAGCTTTGTGTCATTATACCTTGCTAAGGTCACCACAGCAAATTGACGCTGAGTGCCCAAGGCCAGGGCACTCACCCAGAGCCTCTTTCTACAGCTCGTTGTATTTATTTCCACAACAGGCCTTATTCCTAGTGTATTAATAAATGTGTATCAGTACATTAATGGATTAATAAATCCATTAATGTCTTTATAATGTATTTATGCTGGTTGGCAGGATTCACAGTTTATTATCTCTATTTTGTGCAGTGTGGTTTCCTGTTATGGTGCATGGCCCCAAGTCCCTCAAATGGAGCAGAGTTCCTGTACCACCGAATTATCCGCCCTTTCTTCCTGAAGCATGAGGCACAGCTGGACAGTGTAGTGAAGGATCTGAAAGACAAAGCTGCAGAGACAGCAGATACAATTACTAAAGAAGGTGAGATGGGGCCAAAAGGTACAACTTTCTTCAAGGAGTTTTTTCCAGAGTAGTCTTTTAGCTGGCAGTGCTTTTGGACAGAAGGGATGAAGTGAGTGGTACACTGAGAAATCCTGTGGGGTAGTACTTAGAAGAAGGTGCTCTAGACCTTTCTACCCTCAGACCTCAAACTAACTTCTCTTGTCTTTGAAGAGTTAGGCTAGTGTTGGCTTAGGCATGAGCAGTGAAGCTGATGAAGCTCATGAGGTGCAGGGCTGTGTGTACCATGGAGCTCCATGGGTGTATTGTATGCGCAGAACTTGGGGGGGGAGGGGTTTTGGCTCAGTGGTAGAGAGCATCTGCTTTGCATGCAGAAGATCCCAGGTTAAATCCCTAGTATCTCTGGCTAAAAGGCTCAAGTAGTAGATGGTGTGGAAGACCTTGGAGAGCCACTGTCAGTCTGAGTAGACAGTGCTGTCCATGATATGCCGATGGTCTGGTTTAGTACAGGCAGCCCTATAGCTAGGGAATTTTTGTGGAGGGGGCCACCAGCAAATAAAAATTAATTAAATTAACATTGAATTCATTAGTGGGACTCCTTAGAAGTTGGCCTTCCTCCAGGGCAAGTCGGGAGGGGATGATTCCCAGCAGCCGCAGCTTCCCTTCCCCCCTCCCCACAAGGGCATGGGAAAACCCCACTGGAGGTCACATTGGCTTCTCACCATCAGGTGTGCTGCTCTGCTGGCCCAGCAGCAATGAGTGGTGGCGGCTTCAGGAGGATCCTCGGCAATGCCCAGGCCGTGGGTGGGTGGGGGGAGTCATCGTCGTTGTCATTCTCTTCCTCCTCCTCCTCTCTCTCTCTCTCCCCTTCCAGTCAGGAGGGGGCAGAGGGATCCCTGAGGGCTGCCTAGACCCGCCAGGCAAGTGCTCAGCCTGCCCGCCCTCCCCCAGAGCACGGCATCCCTGCTCTTCCAGTTGCAGTTTGCAAAGCCAGGCAGGGCAAAGCAGGTGGTGGGCAGTGGCATCCAGGACGGGGACGGCAGGGGAGGCGGGGGAGAAAGGAGATCCAGCAGGGGGAGTGGGAACAGGCAGCTGGCAGCAGGACGCTCTCCCCAGCTCACCCACCCAGGCTAGCCCGGCAAGACCGCCTGCTCACCATACCACAGAGCAAGCCAGGCACCTCTTGCTGCCGGGGCTGTAGCTGCCACTGTTCTAGGTGTTGCTGCCAGGGCCCAGCTAGGGGTGCCGCAGCTGCACATCTGAAACTGGGAATGGAGCGAGGCTGGTGGGGAATTGTCCAAGGCACTCAGGGCGCTCAATTTCCTGGCAGTCAAGTCGGAGGCAGCAAGTTGAGGCACTTTGGGGGCACCCAGGGAGGGAGGGGCCCAGGGAGCCAGGCCCTGTGGGCCCAATGTTAGCTATGGGCCTGAGTACAGGGCAGCTTCATGTGCTCAAGTGACCAGAAGTGGGGTTTTCCTTGCTTTGCATACTCTTTACCCTTTCTCATGATTACCAGCCCAAGAAAAGACTATCCAGCTGTGTAAATTATATGAGCATTAACTTGATTTGTGTAATATAAGCAGTTTAGAGAATTCATCTGCTCCAGATGCAACATTTTGAAAGCTGGACATAATCTTTAAAAAGGTAATATACCAGTCCTGTGAGATTGCAAAATTCCAGGAGCTTGGTTACCCAGCTGCTTAAGCTTATGCCGTGACATGGATGGCCCAAACTAGACCCGTCTCACCAGATCTTGGAAACCAAGCAGGGTTGGTCCTGGTTAGTACTTGGAGGGGAGATCACCAAGGAAGTCCAGGGTTGCTACATAGAGGCAGGCAGTGGCAAGCCACCTCTGTCTGTTGCCTTGAAACCCCTACGGGGTCGCCATAAGTTGGCTACAGCTTGATGGCCCCTTGCACACACAAGCATGTAGAAGTTCGTCTTCCTCATGATCGCTGCCCAAAGTCACTTTGTTAAAAATGTGCTAGCCTTCTACAGCTTTAATCTCTGCTCCTATCAGAGTATAGTAGTTTATTTAGCAGTGTTCACTGTTGTTAGAACATAATGGATTTTTTTTCTATTTCAGCCAAAAAAGCAACAATAAATCTATTAGGGGATGAAAAGAAAAGCACCTAAAACTGGAAAATAAGTTTCCTCATCACTTCCCTTAACGCAGCTTGATATTACTGGGGACTGTGATATAGTGATTTGAATAATGTTGCCTTGGAAACTGTTTTTTATTTAATAAAGGAATGTGTTTTTAAAGTTGCTTGCTCTTTTGCAGTTTGCTGTATTAAAAGTAAGCATTTTTATGTCAAACCAGTGCCGTGGGTGGTATCTAATGCTTATACAGGTTAGTTTGTCTCCTAAGCAAAGAACAGTCTTTCAGTAATGTCTTGTCATGTGGTTAAAGTAATCTTAAATAAAATATCCCCCAGGCTGTGACTATTACACTTCATGCATGCAATGTCTGTCTGTTACTATTTGACTGGTTCCCGCTGTAATGTACAGTTTTATATCAAAATGTGATAATGGTGATTTTCATGCAAGGGCACGTGTGCATATGCAGGGAATAATGACCAGAAGGACACGTGTTAATGAGTATTCCCCCTCCCCACACATAACAATATTGTTAACAGTGAAGGCAGGTGATGGTGTAGAACCACTGATATTGTTTGTTGTTGCACATACCACTTGTAACTTGCAGCGTTTTGGTAGATGTGTATGTGGGAGTTGTCCTTAAAACACAGAGTCAAACACTTTGCGGTTGTTGACGACATACTGTAAACTTGTTTGCCGGAGTTGGATGCACTGATCAGCAGCTGATAACAGAGGAACAGAAGAGGGGAGCATTGCCCCGATACTCTGTAGAGTCCTATCCTACTTCATGGCACAGGCTGAGCAGTGTGAAATGCCTGTCTTGTCAGGTGACTCCCAGTTACGTTGCAGCACAGGCATGGCCTCAGCCAAGGTTTCCCTCCAAAGTGGTACCTGAAACTGCATTCTGCTCTTTGTGGAAGTTTCATAATGTGACCTCTATCAGATCAGGTGCTCTTCAACCTTGTCTACTGTTCACGCCAGGCCTTAAGCCTTAGTCTTCTATTGGAAGTACATGGCATAAATGGGGAGCAATTGTCTTACAGAGAGAAGCAGGTAGGATTGTCCCCTGTCATGAATGTGGTAGTAATACTGTTAACTGGAAAATATTGATTTGTTCCCTAATGGCTCATGATTTTTTCTGAAGTTAGACTTTTTATTTTTAAAAGCATCTCCGACTGTATATTGTTGTCTCCTGCTTGATTTAAAATGAGACAGAGTCTCTGTGTAGCATTTACCAATTGCCATGGGGGTTGCAGGGAATCATAGTCCCTGAATTATCAGAAAGAACTAAAACAGTCCTTCCAAATCCTTGTTCGCAGCAAAATTGGATTGACAAACCAAAGCCCCCCATTATTCGTTGGAGGGGCACTATTTCAGTCCATGAGCAAATATTTAAAAACCTGCATTGCTATTCAGTCTGAAAGAGAATTTAGAAAATGCTAACATTTTTAGCAGCAGCACCACCACCTTGCATGCATGCTGTGGGCTTTTATTTCTATTTCATGTGCTCTGAATAAATTTTGTGTAAGGTAGTTTATGTCATGGTGCCATGTGGATCTCCAGGAAAATCATGAAACCGAATGTCCAAAGCAAGTGAACTTTTAAAATACAGCTTTCTAAGAGATAGTTACTCTTTGTTGGGAGAGATTATCCACAGCTACATACAATGGGTATACCTCTTCAGTTTGAGTCTGATGGAACATAGTAGCCTTGAAACAGTTTATCCTTCACTTGCAAATATGGTAACTGCTTGGGCTTGGTTAAAATGTGTCTTTTTCCTTGGCAAGTGTTGGAAAAGTTAGTATGTCTTAGCCAGCCTGTGCTGAAGATGTAATGTATTTAGAACACATACAAATAAATAAATAATATCCAACACTAATGTGATGTTTACATTTCTTTATGGCAAATTTTCACACTGCATGTAGGAAGATCAGAGTAATGGAATAAATAATAACATTCATTTTGTCCCTGAATGCTAGAGCCAAACTCATCTAAGGCTTAATACTTGACCTCTTTTACTATATGCAGTTGTGTAGTATTCAGTGGGAAGAGTAATCAGCTGACAACTCCGTAGAGAAAGCCATCAACTCCACTTGAGGCCGTGCGTGTAGTGATCACCTGAAGGAGCACAGAAAACTAGTTCTTCTCAAGTGAACTTAGATCGGAAATGCTTTCACTGAAAATGACCGCCACTAATGGGAAGAAAGGCTAGTACTCACATGCTTACCAGCACAAAAGGTCTGAAAAGTATATGCAACACGTAACAAAGCAAGGCTATACAAAACAGAAGCATCAGCCATGGCCTGATCTTAACAGTGAAACACCCACTACAGGTCTAGTCATTAATAGTTCAACCTGACAGGTAAGTAGTACCAGGCCTGCCTGTTGTGGTTAGGGTAATTTGCTGCTTATTAACAAAATTTTCCTCCTGCTGTGCCCCCTAAAATGCTGCCCATAAGAGCCTGCTGATCTCTAGGAACAGCATTGGCCATGAGGTGAAAGGGTTGGCGCTAGGTGGAAATAGAAAACTTGCTCATTTGCTGCTGGTAGAAAGTGAGGTTTGGAACCAATTCTCTGATTCCCCTCCTCCCCATATTTGTTAACACACTGGACTGAAAAGCCAACAAAGATAATTTTGATTCAGGGACTACCTATACATTCAAATGGACTCCCAACGTTGTCACACAAGAGGAGGTGGAAGCTTCATCAACATATGCAAACTGGCTAATACAAGTTCTAGGAATGTGGATTTCAGTTAGTGACTAACCTGTCTGGGCTATCACTACTTGGGGATATTTAATTTTGTCAAATGTAAATGAACTAAACAATAACCTTCCAATTATCTTACTGTTTCTCTGAAGTGTTTATTGGCTAGATTTTTAATGTTTTGTAGAAAATGGGGAGTCCCCCCCCCCCAACAATGTACCAAATGAATTTTAAATTAAAGGAAATTACTTTTACTATTCCCTAAACAATGCAGTTCCGGTTAACACTAGCTGATTCCAAATTAGCATAGCACTCAATGCCCAGTCCTCCTGGATCCTGATTGGGCCAGTGTTTTAAGGTCATTCTAGATAAGTAGCCATATAAGTCTGTGGCAGCAGAATAAAATGAGTCCAGTAGCACCTTAAAGAAAAACAAAATTTATTTTAGCATAAGCTTTCATGAGTCAGAGCTCAGTTCCTCAGATCTGGTTCCACTGGACTGTTGCTTTAACATCACCATCCTCTTTTCTGAAAGAAGTAAAAAGGAATAAGTTTAAATTAGACTAGCGAGTGATGCCCCTCCCACAAGTTGGGTCCATCCCAGCCTCATTGTTATCTTGGGCCTGGTTTATATAGAAAGCAGGTAGAACATAGCCTTACCACAAGCATGGCCTTCACTTGCAAATGCAGTATATGGCATGTAAGATCACAGCATCTGCTGATTTACACATTAACTGCATACTAGTTCATGGAAGACCTATAAAGAGACCCCTGAATTTCCCAGCTAGGAGAGTCTGCATTTCAGTAATTTGATGACACTGCCACCTACAGGAATTTCACCAAACTAATACAGCTTGTGCATAGGAATTTCTGTTAGTTAGATCAGGGGTGGCCAAACTGTGGCTCAGGAGCCACATGCAGCTGTCACATATATTGTGTGGCTCCCAACAGGGCAGCTGGCGAAGTGAAGGAGAGGCATGCCTCCCCAATCGGTCATTCCTTCCCCAGCCAGTGTTCCCCTCCCTGCGTGGGCTTGAGGTGGAAGGAGCAAAGAAAGAAAGAAACTCTAGCTGCGTCCTCAAAGGCACCCACCCCCCAGCCAGCCAAGTTGGAGAAGGCATTTGTCTCCCTACCTCCCTTCAAGCCAAGGCAGTGGAGGGGGGGGGGGACCTTGGAGGATGCATTTAAAGTTGCTTTCTGTCCACCTCTCCCTCCCTCCATCTATTTGCTTTGTTTCGCTTTATTTTTCTTTCCACCCCTCTCTTTCTCGCTCATTTAGACAAGTATCATTGGACAAATAAATATCAGTATCTGTATGCCCTAAATGAGCCCCCAAAGGCACCCCCCCCCCCCAGCCAGCCAGCTTAGAGAAGGCATTCGTCTCTTTACATCCCTTCTCCAAGCCAAGCGGGGGGGGGGGGCTTGGAGGATGCATTTAAAGTTGCTTTCTGTCCACCTCTCCCTCCCATCTATTTGCTTTGTTTCGCTCTATTTTTCTTTCCACCCCTCTTTCTCATTTAGATGAGTATCATTGGACAAATAAATATCAGTAACAGTATGTTTTTACCCCTTTTGTTTTTATTTCTGGCAGTCTCATTTAATAATAAAAAGCAAATCTGCATATTTTTCAATTAAAATGTGTGTGCAATATTCACGTCTTGCAGCTTTCGAACATCTGACATTTATTCTTTGTGGCTCTTCCATTAAGCAAGTTTGGCCACCTAGATCTTTAGTCACACCTTACTGGAAAAGAGAACACTGGAATGACCAAATATTTGAAAGGCTCACACTCATCTTAAAATATCAGCAGGATGACTAGGGACTTCCAAGCTTGGGGCCTATCAACTGGCTAAATACAGTACCTTAGAAAAGCCCCCTTAAATCACAGTGGGCTGAATAGTGGGTTGGAAGAAAGCAGAAGTTGCGTTCTAGCCAGTGTTCCCTCTAAGCTGAGTCGGTGTGAGCTAGCTCACAGTTTTTTAGCCTCTGGCTCACACATTTTTGTCTCAGCTCAGGAAGGGTGGCTCCAGAGCAAACTAATTTATGCAGGAGCCAAATTGCTTGCTCACAACTTTAATGCCAGTAGCTCACAAATTAGAATTTTTGCTCACAGGACTCCACAGCTTAGAGGGAACATTGGCATAGCTGCAATCACCTTCAGTTGGCTATGCTTAAACCCAACAAAGATGGCAATGCAGCTTATTGTGACACTCTCCAGAGTGGGAAAAATTGTATGTCTAATTCAAGCGATGTCTGCAGTTACTTGACAAACACATCAGACAACACCATTAACTGCGGTCCGTGCAGTCCAGTGTGGAAAGACACACAAAAGCACTGGGTCAACCATT